GGGGGGGGGGGGGGGGGGGGGGGGGGGGGGGGGGGGGGGGGGGGGGGGGGGGGGGGGGGGGGGGGGGGGGGTGCAGACATCGGCTTTATTCGATGCGGCGAAGAAGGCAGACGACGAGACGGTTTCCTTCGGCGGAGAGGACGACCGCAACAGGCTGTCGAAGGGGGGATTCTTCATGCTCTGCGCGCTCGGCACGGCCAGCTTCTCTCGGGTACAACAGCAGTGGATGCTCCATGCTGGGTGCTTGGTGCTTGCTTGGAGTCTTCATGTGCTGATACCTGGGTGCCAGTTTCTCCCTCTCCCTCGCCCTCGCTCTCATTATCTCTTTCTCTCTCTCTCTCTCTCTCTCACTCTCTCCATCTTTACCGCATGCTCTCTCACTCTCGCTCTAACAAAACGGTCTTTAGTCATCCTTTGCTGTTGTGTGTTGGTGAGGTGCTTTGCTGTGTGTGACGTCAACTGACGTCGTTTCGCCCACCCTACCGACACAGAACCCCGCCTTACCTCTTCAGGTAAGGTGCGGTGTTACCCCCTACGATAGTCCGCCCCTTCTTGTATCTTGCGTTCAAAACCTCCATCATAACGATCACGAGCAGTTGCCTCAAATTGTGGAATCTCTGCAAAAAAAAAAGTGTCGGAGTAACCTCGCTGCCGTTGTTGCATGTGTGTGAGAGGAGACAGCTGGTGCATGTGCGAGGTGGAGGGCAGCAAATAACCCGTGCGTTTTTGCTCCAAAGTGTGCCGCCCGTTCCCCGACAACGACACGCTTTGCATTCGCCCTCACTGCTGCGTCGCACGCCACCGAAGCTAAAAAAAAGACCCCTGTGCTGCTTGCTTCTTCCGCAGGCTCGCAAGGACGATGCCGGCAGCAGGCGATCCGGGTCGAAGTGGAAGCGGATCCGACAACGTCTGGACGGTGAGCCGTTCGCCCCCTCTCGCTCGACCCTTTCGAGTCGGTGCCACACGCTGCCGCAAAAAGCAAACGACGTCCACGAGTGCCGTGAACGAACATTTGCTTCTCGAGCAAGTTTTTGACGCGACCCGTTGATGAGTTTGAAGCGTTTGTTTGGGCTTTCTCGATAGTAGGGAACCTTCACATTTGTCGCCTTGCCGAGATGGAAAGTTATGGGGCGTACCACGCACCGCACCCACTATAGGTGGGTTGGATTTATTTGTTTGAACTACATGTAATCGAACACCTAGCGGTATAGACATTCGTTTGATCAAACCAAACGTCGAACGTTCGGTGTTCGTTGTTCGCCGCGAATATAGCGAGTAGAATCACATGAGCGAGGGCGTTGTTATGTTTGTTGTTCGGACAACTAGACAGATGAGCAGGCATCTGTCAGCACAACAAACACATGTGAAAGTTAAATGTGACTTGGATTGTTGGATGGACTCAAGAACTTCTCAGTACCACCCTTCAGAGAACAAATGGATGTTCATTCCATTCAGCGCCTCCGTTCTGCATTAATTTTTTAGGCTACAACTAAGGCCTCTTTCAGAAACAGCTTTTGCGGGCTGCCTTTTTCGTGGAACTAGCGTTCGAGTGCAGCTCTTCCCACTACGTCTAAAGTCTTATCGATTTCATGGACGGCGTCCGTTTCCGTCCAGAATGGCCAACCCTCCCACCCCTTACGTTCTAGCACTCGAACGCATGTCGAATGCTCGCACGGGTTCATGTTTGCGACATGGTTTTGAATGATTGCGGTGGAACAATTAGTGAGAACGGGTACGAAAGGCGGGAGAGGAGTCAATCTTGATTAGAAGAGCTACCGATCTAGGGGTCTGTTTCCACGAACCATCGACGGATCAATCACTTTTGCAGCGTTCGCTGGCGAACACGCACTTGTCAATCTATCACCACTTGTTTGTCTCTCACTTCACGGACGGCGTTCCTTCACGCGTTAGATTCGGACTCGATTTCGATTTCCAACTCGTCCAATTGCTCTGCTGGGAGGACCCCGTCCTCGCCTCTAGTTTGTTCGCCTTACGCTTGTCGGTGTTGGGCGGATCGTCTCGCATCACCCTCCCCCCCACCCCCACCCACCCCTGGTTGGTCGTCTCGTCGTGGTCGTTCCCTTATTGTCAGCCGCTTTGTCGTGGAGCATGCCGGGAAGCAACTTCCCTCTGAGCAGGCAGGTGCTGAACGTGGCAGTAGTGGTTCAAGGTGAGCTAGAATACCGTAGGTGACGCAAGACATCACACCCCCTGACTGATTTTCAAAACTTGCGTTTCTCCGCAGAAGGAAGAGCGGCGAAGCAGAAAATGACGGCGTTGGAACCGCCTCGTCGAGCATGTTCTGACTTCATTTCCTTGGATTTTGCTTGAACAGCATGTAGAGGCTCACGATTAGCAACATGAAGCCAATGGCTGGCCAAGTCCAGACCCTGTCCCGTATCCACCATACCACCTCTTGGGCAGATCTTTTTTCGGCGGAGGATGTTAACGTTAGCTCTGGCTTTTCGCGTCACCTGCCGTTGATTTTTCGTGGTGCTTGGATACCTCTTGACGATTCGCCGAGAATCTACTTCATAGCAGGAAACAGATGGCCCGAAAGAGGGATCCAGCAGCGAAGATGGCGCCGAGTTCCTTTTGATCTTGAAACGTACCCTATTCCCCCGCCCTTGGCCGGCAAAACCCCGGCCCGGCGTTAGGCCTTTGCTCCATCGGCCACTTTTGTTTCTCTTTTTCTGCCTTTTTTTTTTTCGGCCACATTTTTTCCTTTTTCGGCCGCCCTCATTTTTTTCCGGCCACCTCAATTTTTTTTCGGCCACCACAAATTGTGCACTTTTCTTCTCGGCCGTAGCCGTACATGTACGACTTTAACATACTATTGCGCCTCGCGCATACCTCTCCTGTAACCTATGCTTGTTGCTGTGTTCTTGGTAAATAAAGACCAAGGACCCCCCCCCTAAGTGCAAAAATAATGTCGGAAAGGGTATGATAGGTATCCCCCAAACCAATGTTGTATTTATGAAGGGAAGGGGGGAGGGGGGCAACCGATTTTCGATATTCGGCCGGTTGAAATCGGAACCCTGCCCTAGTAGCCGATTAGAAATCGGCCGCAGCCGATTGGAAATCTGCTACAGGCAATCCTAATTCGGCTGAGCCCTGGCCAAAAACGGCCGCTTTGTTTGAAAAATCGGCCGTTTTTCTCTTGGCCGTTTTCCGGCCGAAATTTTCAGAAATCGGCTCTTTCGGCTGCGGCCGATGGAACAAAGGCCTACCCGGCGTACGTCGTCGTTTCGTCCCGGGATCTGTATAAGAGACATGCTTTGGGGTCTAAATTGCCGTCGAAAGCCTCCCTACGGGCCCTACGGGGGGCATGACCATGAGTGCTCCTAAATTACCGTCGAAAGCCTCCTACGTGGGAGATGACCATGAATGCTCCCCGGTCTTTTCGTCGCTCCATGTTTTTTGCGTTTCCTTCGAGCCAGGGTACCAGATCGTTCTGGAAGGAGACGACCCGGAGGGGCGACCGACATGGGCCTACCCCCTGGGAGGCTTTTTGATCGCCTACTTCTGCGTGCAGGCGTCGTTGCGGATGATCGTAGACGGGGCTCGGCTGTACATTATGCAGTGGAGGTGAGAGCTCGTCAGAATGGTGATGCGGTGTGTAGCATACCTCGGTCAGCAGTTGTCCTTGTTGAACGCTGCGTAGACTTGTTGAAAAAACAGTTGAAAGCAGTACCTGGAACCTTCGTCTAGGTCGATTTCTTACGTTTTTTTTTTCTACTCTCTGTCATAGTGCGGCGTGTTTTGTTTGTAGTTGCGTTTCGACCCGTCCGCCTTTGAATGAAGTTGACTCCCTGTGCTATTCTATGTTGACCACCAACCTAGGGAGGCACTATCTCCGTGGATGTAATTTCTGGAGGCACACCATCATTAAACTCCTGCTATACGTCTGTACGACGCTTTTTGTCGTCTTTTTGGGGGGTGATGCGCCGGGACGATGACTGCATTACGCTAGCAATACCCCAGGGCGCAAGAATCCACGCTTCGGCGTTGAATTGGTTCCGTTTTTTATGACGTCACTCACGTTCTCGTTCTCCTGTCCTCGAACTAATTCTTCCCGCTGTTTTTTTGCTCGATGTTGCCGCTCTTCCTCTAAAATTTTGTCTGCTTGATACACAATCGAAGGCATGCACTCGGGATGTGTCTGAACCTGATCGGCGTGACGTACTACATGGGGCTCTGGTTCGACGGAACGGGGTGGCACAGCTTTTACAAGATCCTGCAGGCGTCCCGCGTCGTCATTCTTTGGAACGTTCTCCACCGGCTAGGCTCTACCAGCTCGGGTGAGGGAGGGGTAGTGCGTCTGTCTGGGTGTAGAATCGAGAAACATAGGTACAAAGTTAAACACGCGTGCGTGCGAAACCGTCTCGCTGCTTTTGTAGAAGATAAACACAGAGAGAATATCCGTTCGAGGCTTTGCTTTTAGAACGGTTTCGATGGGTTTCGTTTTTCAAGTACGTGGGTAGATGGCGAGGGTCTTGACAGATATAATAGCGACCACTGCTGCGTTTTGTATGTGTGGGTGCAGCTCTTGTGTGCACTGCATGTTGGCGTGTTTGTGTGTTGCTTGCCGACGCGCTCGCCCGATCCAGTCTTCTCTCTCCCAGTGCTTGCAGCGGCTTCTGCTCTTTATGCGCGTGGGGGCATGCTTACGTATCACAACCGTTGTAGAAACGCTGTTGGATTTCTTGTGTTGGCGGCACTGCATGTTAATGTGCGTACATCCACTATGTATGTGCACTTGATCATGCTCTCGCGTCTCTCTCGATACAGGGTTTTGTCCGACAACTAAACGAAGATATGACGCACGCCATGTTGACGTACTCTTCCTCCCCTTTGCTCCACTCAAAATAGTGCCGCAGAACCTCAGGCTTTCGCGAAACTCGCCCTCCCCTAAGGCATGAAAAACTGAGTACGCGTCTCCCCCCTCCCCCCCTTCCAACTGGCTGTCCACCCGTCCTTACCGCCACCTGCCGGTTCGACCGAACCCCTTGTCGCCGTTGGGCGGGTGAAAAAAAAAAAAAACGACAAAAAAAACGCCTGGCAGAGGTAGCGAGGCGGCTAGAGTTCGTGTTTCCGGCGGTGCTGCGAGCGTCTTTCGTCCTCTTCTCGGTGACGTACTCGTACTCGGTCTTGGCCTTCGACATGTACTGCGCAACGCCGCTGGGGGTCGAGCCCGTCGACAGCGTGGCGGACCACAGCATGATGCAGAGGTGGGAGATGGGCTTGATGCGGCAGTTTGATTTTTGTTATCGTTGCTTTGCGCACAAGGCATGTATGCGTACGCGTGCGTACGGAGACTGGAAGTCCTTGTACGACAAACGCACACCTCTGTGGTATGGTAACATTTTGACTCTATTATTGAAATGTTGTCACAGGGTGTGTACCTTGGGGGTATCTTGCGTCGCCTTGTGAATTGATCTGAGGGTATTTCTCTGTTTTGGACCCACGGTGGCCCGTGGAAATACTACCACCGCGATGTTGTGTGGGTGATATCTTACGTGGGTGTGGTATCTTGCGTGGTGCACGGTACACGCAAGGGAGGACGAAACGAAGAGTGATACTAGGAAAGGGAAGGTTTGAATTAAGGCGTAGACAAAACAAAACGTTGTATACGGAACCCATGCGAATTGCCGTAGTAGAGCTCTCATCGTGTTCCACGGGGAACGCCTTGCGTAACACGGAGCCCCCGTACGCACACTAACACGTCAAGGAAATCGGCAGCGTGTGCACGAAGCACGAAGCGTTCGAAGAGACTTCTAGATAGACAGCGACGCCCTTCTTCGCTCTCGGCATCAGACGCAATTACATGTTGTCTGCGTCGGTGGTTTATCTCGTTGGCATGGTGTCGTCGGGAGGAAGGTGATACTCCTGTAAATGAATGATGCGGGTCCTGGTTCGGGAGGTACAGTAATGCGCACCCATGTTTCGGGAGGTACAGAGGGAGAAAGATGTGCACAACGCACGTCTCATGTGGAGTTAATTACCTAGACTCGGAGAAACGTGTTTTTGTGGGCAAGCCCATGGACGGATGTAGCTGACTGACACAAGGGAGGGAGGAAGGGAGGGAGAGAGAGAGACAGACAAGACATGTCTTATCTGGCGAGTAGCTTGGCCTCCCCAATGCCCGCCCCTCACGGGGTCCTCCCCCCCGGTGTTTGCCATCGGGGTTGGGTTTTCGTCGCTTGGCAACGACGTTGTAAAACAAGCCAATTCACTTAGTGAACTCGGCAACCAGGTAACCGTTTTTTTTTTTTACCTCCGTTTTTTTTTTTTGGCAGTAACCATAGTGGTGGTCAAGTGGATCATGTTGTGCGGGGTGGAGGACCCTCACTCCGCCCAACGGGGATGATCGCACCACGTTGTGTTAACATGGTCAAGCACCCTCGAGGCAGTTACACAGTGCTTGTAACCGTCTCTGGAAGTGAAAGCACCAGAAAATAAATTAATTCATACGCAGCTGTCATCCGTACGCAAGGAAGTAAGCACAAGATGCCGAACACCCTTAGCAGGATGCAGCGCACCCTTCATGCGACTCGCCGAATATCTCACGGCGCTTCGCGCTTGGTGATGTGAGAGCCTGGTCCGGTGAGAACCCGGCGTGCTCCGTCCCGGCTTTGTAGGGATGCGAGGTCAATGGTCTAACGACTACGGCATGCACGACCATGAGTACACCCCCTCACGGGGTCCCATTTAATGGCATTTAGAAGTGTTTTGTGTTTTCAACCGCACTGAGACTTGACGTGTTTCCATTGGTCAGTCGGTTAGCGCTGTCGATGCTAACAACAGAGTCACACAGACATCCAAACCAACTTTTGTTGGATCTTGAAGTGATTAAGGGGCGCTGCATCCACCTCATCGGCGGAAAGGAAGGAAAATCGTTCTTGATGTCGAGTCGCACTTTTTGTATTGTTGTGCTTGTCTACATAACTCGCCGTGTTCCTGTCTGTTTCGTACGCCACTACCAACGAACAAACCATCGCGCGGCGGCAGGTGGGCGTATTACAAGGACGTGCTGTCATTCGCCTCGTTGCACCAGTCCTTCGCCGCGATGACCGACATCGTCATGCTGAGCAATTGGCCGCTTTTCATGGACGCGGCAGGGGACGTGGGTAACGTCGTTACGGCAAAGATATTCTTCTACTCCTTCAAGGTAATGGCGGTGTATGTGCCGTTTTTGGTTGTGCGAGTGATACTCGCCTCGCTCTCCCCACCCTCCTAGATTGATATTGACAGCTCGATTGCTCCAACACTGAGAGGGCAGAGCATCGCTTCCGGAAAGGGTTGGTTTTGGAAGGATCTTCTCGAGAGCAGACTCCATTAGGTCTGCCAACCGGTCTTCGATAGCACCCTCTTGGTCCTGGAGCGATCGAGCTGTGATCGTTGGCGATCTGGGATCCTTCGTATTTATAGGAACGTCACGTTGATGCCGTGGTTCGTCGCTCTTGGACTGGAAAACAGCGGGTGGGTGTGGATGCCTTTGTTCGGCTGACTGTATGGTGGCCATATACCATTGACTGACCCCGTCGTCGTCGACCCTTCCCGACCCGAAAACAGAGCGGGTTGGTTTGATACTTTTTGGTGTTTTTTTCGCTGATTGCGAGGTCACTAACTGGCCCCCTCCTCGTCGACCCTTCCCTCGTTGCTACGCCACAATCTGCGTGCCCCCTCTGTCTCGCGTTCTTGTTTCTATCCCATCTGAAGGTGCTCACGTTCTACTTTGTCATGCCGGTGAGAGGAAGATACTTTTTTCTGTGCAACACAACAACAACGAACGAAGTAGGGACCATTGTCTATTTCATGAGCCCCATAGTCTACTTTATGACTGCCATAGGCGAGGTGTGTGGGGTAAGAAGCCACACACGCCCGGACAGCAATATTCGGAGTTCGGTAACTCTGCCGCAAAAACAGTGACACACGGTGCCAACAATGGCTGCTGTGGAACCGTCTCGTCAAGCGCTCTCCGAAAAACGTACAAGATTGATTGTGTTGCGGCATCCTCTTCGTCGTGGAGCAATCGACCGTTCAAAATATGTCTTGGGGGAGTGGTGTCTTGTGTCACCTGCGGTAGTTCAAGGGAAGCAGCAGCACAATAAAGGGAGACTGCCATGCTGTCGGGGAGGGAGTGTGCCAGCTTAGTAGGCGTTGAGGGAAGGGGCACACGCACCGTAGTTGAAGTTAGCTCCTGGTACTGTGTGTTACTCGAAACAACTCCCCTACCATCACACGCCACACCCGGACGGCAACACGGAAATAGCGAGTGAGCGTATTCGATGATGAATTAATAAGACCTTACAAGTAGAACTTTGGTTTTGGGGGAATTACTGTGAATATTTGCCTTTTTGGGGGGTTGGGGTTGGGAAAGGTATTCATGAAATTTCGACGACTGTTGCGGTGCGGTCACGCCAGGCCTTGCCGTGCCACACGCATCACCTTCTCTCCGAGGGAACATGGGTTGAGCAAGTAGCCAGTCAGGATCACCTGTCGCGGGGGGGTGGCCGTCGAAG